TCTCTCTTGCGGATATGCAGAATCCTCTGTATCTGCATCCTAGTGATGGTCATAACTCGGTATCTGTTGATAAGTTGACTGGAGCTGCAAACTACAGAGAGTGGAGAAGATCTATGGAGATAGTACTAGCCTCTAAGAGAAAGTTAGGATTTGTAACTGGATTGGTGAAGAAGGATGCTGAAGATGAAGTGAAAGCAGATCAGTGGGATACCTGCAACAATATGGTGATTGCTTGGTTGATGTCATGCATGAGTGACTCTATCAAAAGGTCTGTGTTGTTCTTGAACACTGCTAGAGATGTGTGGAAGAACCTGGAGATCAGATTTTCTCAGACCAATGGAGCTAGAAAATACAAGTTGTGCAGAGATGTCTATGACCTGAAACAGAATGGTCGAAGTCTAAGTGACTATTATACTGAGATGAGTTCTCTCTGGGAGGAGATTGAAGGGTTGAACTTACTGCCACCAATAACTGAGATGAACAGTGAGGTGAATGTTTTCATAAGTGCCCTCAATCAGCAGAAAGATGAACATAATCTCTTTCAGTTTCTCAATGGTCTGGATGAAGACTATACTGCATTGAGAAGTCAAATTTTTATGCAATCCCCTCTGCCAACTGTAGAACTTGCTTGTGCCCAACTGCAGCAAGAAGAATCTCAACGTGAAACCCTAAAGGGAGGAGGAAAACCAGACCCTGAACCACTGACGAGGGTTAAATCGGTTGCTACAATCTAACTCTCAATCAAACAATACTTATACGAACACCCTATAACCAAGTACAATGGAAAATAAAGGTTCGGTCCACGAGGAACGAGAGTAATTGCAAATCAATCTTAAACCTAAGCTAGTTCGAAATCAATGGAAAATGGTGTTCTAAAATACTAATAATAAGATGGGATAAACCAGATAAACTAAGACACTAGGGAAGACGGGAATTCACCAAACCATCGGTAACTACGCAACAAGGAATCACAGAGACAAACGGGACATGCAAAGACTATATGTCTGATCAATATCATGAGGTAGGAAGACAACGGGCAATATTAAGCTTGGATTTCTCATGCACTTAACATTACTCGATACATAATCAAACCACATTCAGCAATGAAATACTCAATTCACAATCTCTTGTTCAAATCAAGGATATCATGCAATCAAATTCAAGATTCTAGGTTAGCTACTCCTATTATAATGAATTAACATGCAATCGCATATAATCAATTTAATCACAATCCGTTTATCAAAATCAATCCTCAATTACATAGGTTACCTAGGCCGGGTTTCATCCCGAAACCCTAGCTAGGAGACTACTCACACATATTCATAATCAAAGCAATAATGAATTCCAAAAGCATAATAGATATAAACATGAATTCTGATTAAGGAATAATAAAGCTTGATTAATAAACAAGAATGAATAATACCAATTGTATTGATGCGAATCAATGGAAAAGTTCAGAACTTTGATATCCGTCGTCAATGAATAATACAAAGAATCTTCACAAATCTTGCTTCAAATCAATCCAAGAAAACTAAAATCGCTAGAATAATCTCTAAGAAAACTAATGAATCACTAATACTAAGAACGTTCTCCAATAACTCTCTACAAAGGCTCTCAAAAACTATCTCTAAAACTGTCTCTCTAAAAACGCCCCTTAAAGTCGGGCTATATATATGTGTTTTAAATCGGAAAGTAAATCGCAGGCTTCCCTTCGTAAATCAGCACGGCCGTGCTAGAAGTGGCACGGCCGTGCAAGCATGGCAGTAGTTGATCCGCAATATCTTCAATTTTGGCACGGCCGTGCTGAATTTGGCACGGCCGTGCTAATGCCTGGCACGGCCGTGCTGAATCTGGCACTGGCACGGGCATGGAAATTGGCTTGGCACGGCCGTGCTAATGCCTGGCACGGCCGTGCTAAAAGTGGCACGGCCGTGCAGCATAGGCAGGAAGGTTGCAGGCACTTTGGTCTTCTTAAAACAGTCACAACTTCTTATCCAGACCTTCGTTTGAGGCGTGCAATATATCGTTGGAAAGCTCTTCAAGTCTACTTTCCAATGCAATTAGAATCACTCCGTTATCATTTGTATATCGAAAGTTATGAGCAAAATAGTGAACAGGTGTCATATTTGTGAACTGTTCTGCCTTGCCTGCTACTTAACTTGCCTTTCAAGGCCTTGAAAACCGCAGCAAAGCCTTAGCTTGGTGGACTAGGATCGATAATAGCCTGATTACGCACCAATGGTTTGGGACTCGACATAAATTGGTCAACTATACCTGTTAACACACCAAAAACAGACCAAAACCCGTGAAGCACGTAATATGAAGGAAACGAGTGTAACAAGGCAATAAACGACCAAAATGGGCCTAAATACATCCAAAATCACCCATTTATATGCCTTAAAGCGCGCTCTAATGTGTGCTTGTCAACCACCTACTGCTATGTATGGGAAAGGAGGAAATAAGGTAGGTTGTTCAGTGTGTGGTAACAAATCTCACACTGCTGAACAATGCTGGAAGGTGATAGGATATCCTTCATGGCATCCTCAGTACAAAAAACAACAGAAGCAGAAAGGAAAGGAAGGTAACACAGGACCAAAATGGAACAAAAGAAAACCATTCAATGGTTAGAAAACTGCAACTAATGCTCAGACTCAGGAAGAGAGTGTATCTATCTCAGCACAGCAGTTGGAGCAGTTGATAAAACTGGTGCCATCAAGCTCTAAGACAGGCAAGACAAGCTATGACACTAAAGAAGAGATAGAGTCTGGATTTGCAGGTATGATTACTTGTAATAATGCCTCTAGTAGTATGAATGAATGGATATTGGACTCAGGGGCAAGTGATCATATGATTTCTAATGATAAATTGCTTGATGAATCTATACATGTGAAAGGGAACACAAAAATTAATTTGCCAAATGGTGGGACTGCAAAAATAACTCACATAGGCAATGTTCTGTTAAAAAATGGCCTGCATTTTAAAAATGTGATGTGTGTACCTGAATTTAAGCACAATCTCTTGTCAATACATAAACTGGTGAGAGATGAAAAGTGTATTGTTAAATTCCAACCTGAATTGTGTGTTATTCAAGACTCTGTCACTCTTAAAACTAGGGCACTTGGGAGAGCTAGCCGTGGACTTTCTATCTGATGAATGATGATCTTGATCTTGCAAATAAGAAGAAGAATGCAGAGGTGAAAAGAAATAATAGCTCAAAGACATTGAAGACTGAAAGAAGAACTGGTGATTCTGTAAAAAGGAAGTTTGTTGAATGTAATGTAGCTAGTGTAGATCAGTGTACTTTGTGGCATAACAGGCTGGGGCATGCTCCATTTGAGAAACTTGTTAAAATTGGGTGTGTTTCAGGAAAATGTAAGAACAACTCTGTTTGCTTTATCTGTCCAATGGCTAGATTTACTAAACTTCCTTATCCTGTGAGTGATGCTTGTGCCAAATCTGTGTTTGAATTGATACATATTGATATCTGGGGGCCATATAGGGTAGCTGCTCGAGGAAATTATAAATATTTTCTCACTATTGTCGATGATTACTCTAGAGCCACTTGGGTTCAACTACTAAAATTAAAATCAGAAGCTTACAGTGCTGTCAGGAAATTTATATTATTTGCAAAAAATCAATTCAATGCAACTGTAAAAATTATCAGGTCTGATAATGCGTTAGAATTTGATGATACTAAGTGCAAAGAATACTTTGGAAATCTGGGCATTATACATCAAAAATCTTGTGTTGACAGACCACAGCAGAACGGGAGAGTTGAAAGAAAGCATAGAAATGTGCTTGAAATGGCTAGGGCTTTAAGATTTCAAGCAGGTTTAGCCCTGAGGTACTGGGGTGATTGTGTGTTAACAACAACCTATATCATAAATAGGTTACCTAATTCAGTGCGAGGAAATAAAACTCCATATGAATTGATTTTTGGAGAGAAACCAAATTATGCATGTATGAAAGCATTTGGTTGTCTTGCTGTTGCTTATAACCTAAATCTGATTGGTGACAAATTTAAGCCCAGAGGTGTACCATGTGTTTTCTTGGGATATCCGCAAGATACCAAGGGCTATAAGGTGATGAATTTGCTGAATATGCAATGCTTTGTGTCTAGGGATGTGAAATTCTACGAACATATTTTCCCATTTAACAAAGTCAATAGCACAGGCAGTTACAACACACCCTTGCCAATCTCAGTGCATGAGTTGAGTCATGATGGTGGTCGTGAGAGTGGTCAATTGGCACCTGATATGGATCAAATATCGGTTGATGATGAGGAAACTGGAAATGATCCAGTTGTGAATCATGAGACAGAAGATCCTGATCCCCAACAGTGTGAAGAGATCATCACTGAAACAATTCCAGACACTCCAGATGAACCTGCATACACTTCAGAGTCTAATCACGATGCTCAGCAAACTGCTCCTGAAACTCATTTGAGAAGATCAACCAGGCCACATAGATCACCAAAGTGGCTGATGGGATATGATCGCAGAGTGGGTGTGAAAAGAAGCAAAACACAGAGAGGTGAAACTGAAGTGAATGCTGCCCAGTGGTGAACTTTGCAATGACACTAGTGAAACCTGAATTTGCTGCTTATTTTAGTCAAGCTGAGAAGACTCAAGACCCTCTGCATTTTAAAGAAGCAGTTAAAAATGAAAAATGGGTGGCTGCCATGAATGAGGAACCGCAAGCACTGGAAAGTAATGACACATGGGAGATGGCTGAGTTACCAAGTGGAAAAAAGGCCATAGGGTGCAAATGGTTGTATAAAACAAAGTACAACCCAGATGGAAGTGTTGAAAGAAATAAAGCTAGACTTGTGATATTGGGTTGCAGACAGAGATATGGAATAGACTACGAGGAAATGTTTGCTCCAGCTGCCAAGATGACAACTGTAAGATCACTTCTAGTTGTAGCTGCTATGGAGAATTGGGAAGTATGCCAAATGGATGTCAAGCCTTCTACATGGAGATCTCATTGAAGATGTGTACATGACTCTCCCAGCAGGCTACACAAGATGGAATAGTAGGATTCATGTAAACAGCACTGTGAAGCACCAGAATACAAACAAGAAGCAACTAGTGTGCAAATTAAAAAAATCCCTGTATGGCTTGAAGCAGGCACCCAGGCAATGGTTCTCTAAGCTATCCACAACCTTAAAAGACTGCGGATTTAGTCAATCCAAAACATATTACTCTCTATTTACTCGAAGTGAGGGGGAGAGTCTGGTGACTGTCTTAGTCTATGTCGATGACCTTTTGATAGCAGGGAATGATCATACAGCAATACAACAGGTTAAAGCCTTCCTTTCATCTACCTTTCACATGAAAGACATGGGAGCTCTTAGGTATTTTCTGGGCATAGAAGCAGACAGTACAGAACAAGGTATTTTTCTGTCTCAAAAGAAGTATGCCCGTGACTTGATAAAGGAATATGGTATGCATAAGTCTAAGGCTGTTAGAGTACCTATGGAAGCTCACACAAAATTGACACCAGAGCTGGGGGATCCTTTATCAGAACCAACTGAGTACCAAAGATTGGTTGGGAAACTCATATACTTGACCATTACCAGACAAGACATAGCCTATGCTGTTCACATTTTAAGTCAGTTCATGCACAAACCGACTACAAGTCACATGCAAGCTGCAAAAAAGGGTTCTGAGATACATCAATTATGCTCCTGGACAAGGAGTCTTATTAGCTTCTAAATCAGCTGCTCTCCTCACAGCTTACACTGACAGCGACTGGGCAGGGTGTCCTATGTCAAGAAGATCGACAACTAGGTTCTGTGTCCTACTAGGCTCCTCACCGATCTCATGGAAATCCAAGAAGCAGACAACAATTGCTAAATCCTCTGCTGAAGCAGAGTATAGAGCCATGGCTCTTACATCTTGTGAAGTGACTTGGCTCACTCAATTGTTGAAAGACTTGGGGTTGAAGAATCTCGGTCCTGCAATTTTGAAATGTGACAACAAGGCAGCTTTATCCATAGCAGCCAATCCAGTCCATCACGAAAGGACTAAACATATTGAAGTTGATTGCCACTTCATTAGAGACAAAATCAATGAAGGTTGCATCAAAACTCAATACACCCCTTCAGGAGAACAATTGGCTGACATATTCACCAAGCCTCTCACCATTTCTCAACAACATCTCTTATTTCCCAAGCTTGGCGTTCGATTCTCTCACACCTAGCTTGAGGGGGAGTGATGAAAGGGGGTTATCTTTCTTCTCTGTCCTGCACCTTATATTTCCCTTTAGTTTGTTTTCTTCTGTTATTTTGTTTTTTCTTTGACTGGTTGAGACAGCCAGCTGTCCTTTTTCCATGTATTAGGGTAATTCATCTAGGGATTGGTGTGCTGATGTATATAAAGAGAATAATTGTAATGTACGCAGTTATGAATTTAGAATGAGAATGAAATGGAAAAAGACTGAAACTTTCCCTGCTCTATTTCTCTGCTGTTCTAAACATCCTTCATATTAAATCTATTTTTCTCTTCATAATCTGTGGTACATACGTTGAGGTCCTTCATCATTGCAATACCCTTGAGAAGCTACTCTAATTCCTCTAACAATAACTTTTGCATGCCCCCGTTTACAATAAATTTATTGTACATCGAACATTTTACGAAAAGTGACCCTTTTTCTTACAAAAGTGACCTTTTTTTTTATTTACAAAAGTGGCCCTTTTTTCACAAAAGTGACCTTTTTTTCAACAAAAGTAACCATTTTTTCCACAAAAGTGACCATTTTTTTCACAAAAGTGACCCTTTTTATTCACAAAAGTCACTTTTTTTTCACGAAAGTAACCCTTTTTCACATAAGTAATTAAGCTACATATGCAAAAAAGAGTATCAAAATCAACAAAAATAAACACAAAATTATCAATAGTCATGAAAAAACTGTACAATCACTCAAACAAATTAAAATAATAAAGATTGACATCACATAATAAAAAAAATACTCCTTCCGTTTTTTAAATACTTGCTTCACTTTCCTTTTTCGGCCGTTTTTAAATACTTGCTCCATTTCCTTATTTGAAAAGCTTTTACAATATTTAATAACTTTTTCTCACCTAATGGACCCACCATTAATCATATTTTATTAATTTCATGTTGACAAGGTAAAGTCGTACCCCTTAATCAAAAATAATTACCTAAATCACTAACTACAGTAGATAGGGAAGTAGGGTCGAACTCTACAGGGAAACAAGTCTTTTTAATTCTAATTAATTGTTATAATCTAAATTATCTAAGTAACCAATATTTTAAATATGAATTCTATACTACGAAGGATGAGTTTAGGGAGAAAAGAATCAATAATAAGGAACCCTAGGGTCGCAGGTTCACCAATAATTAATATTCCGGGATAGAACGAAGCAATTAATAATTAACAATGCATCAATAACATGATTAACAGGCTCTCGCAATTTATTAACCAACATGGATCTAACAGGCTCTCGCAATTTATTAGACCTAAGTTCCTATTAAAAATAGCCTTTAATATTAAATCAACATCTGCTCGATTCATCAATTCAATATTGCTAAACATTCACAACCAAATTACATCTGCTCGATTCATAATCCAATTGCAAAGAATTAAAACAATTCAATAAGAAATTATCATGCAATATCAACAATCAATAATTACAAACTATCCCTTCATATTAATTATGGATCCCCATAAACCCTAGAATTAAACTACTCACTAATCATCATAACTAATCTAATCAAATAAACAAGTAAAAACATAAACAAGAAAACAATTAAAATAGCTGAAATTAGAAAGGGAAGAAATTGTACCAAAACAAATATGGAATTAATGAAGGAATTAAGTACAAGAGTTTAGAGAGAATTCTAGAGAGAGAGAAATACTAAGTAGAGAGAGAAAGTCTAAGAGAAAGAAGTGATTAATTATCCGTACAAAACGAATATAAATATCTCCCCTAAAACACGAATTAAACAAAGCTTAATCAGGCTCTAACAAAACACGCGCCCGATCGGGCGAAGGGGGCGCCCGATTGGGCCCGCCTTTTTTCTACGCCTATCTTTCAGTGCTGCGCCCGATCAAGCCTACGCTCACCCGATCGAGCGCGCATCTCCTTGGCAGCTGGCATGCGCGCAGCTCGCCCGATCGGGCGCGCATCTCCTTGGCAGCTGGCATGCGCGCAGCTCGCCCGATCGGGCCCGGCTTCATCTTGGAGGTTTGGACTTCGATTTGGGCTAGATTTCTCGGCCCAATCCATATTTCCTCTCGGGTCTCGAATACATGGTCCAATTACCTCGGGCTCCGAAAATGGTCGTGCTCCTCCAATGCTCGTAGTCGCTTCATAAAAATCCCGGGAAAATACTCCAAAGGTGCAATTCCCTGCAAAACTTAACCAAAACTACGAAAACACTAGAAAACACATATTAGTAATAAAAGTGGCCCTAAAGGGCCAAAAACAAAACTAATTATGACCGAGGGACGGGGGTAAAATACTATATAAAATGGACACATCAAACTCCCCCAAGCCAAACCTTTGCTTGTCCCTAAGAAAAGGGCTCATCAATGAACATATAAAACATACTTCACCCCAATCAACAAATCAAAAGCCAACGATTCAAGGTAAAATTAAACAAACATGCTTCGACGTCAATCAATCTTATTCATCTAATCACCCTTCCTCCCCAACAATTGTCAAGTAGAGCAAACCACAAGAGCATATAGAATTCAAGACTAGTGCTTACACACTCGACTCTCATTTATGTGGCAAGTAAAGAATGTACTCGATCGCTCTCCACCCAACCCCTTTAATGCGAACAATGCCCTCCCGACTCACACTCTCATGTGTATAAAACAATGAACGCTCAATCCTACTAGTCGACTCGAAATATGTCAAGTCATAACTTGCATTGAAAGACAACACTTTCACATTTACACAACTTCTATGCACAAGGTCGGAAGGTCTTTTAAGCTTGTAATGTAAGGCTAGGGTAAAGGTAGGATAAATTTGGGATTATGTGAGAGAAAAGCTATGCATTAAGGGAGCCAAATCCTAATAAACCCATGATCAAAAATAATGATCATACACATCTCCAACATAACCAACTCCGACAACAATCTACCAAATACACTCCAAACAATAAAACAATCCCAATACTCACAAATTCACTCATAAAAATATGATAATGTAGAACAAGAGTGAATAACAAACTTTGAACTCATAACTTGAAATATTTACATTGAAACTCAACCTTTTTTTTTTCTTTTCCTTGAATTAACCTTCACTTAGAACATTTGAACATCAAACACTTTTTCTCTTTTTTTCTTTATCTTTTTTTTTTTAGAAGTTCACTTTCTTTTCTTTCATATTTCTCATTTTTTCCTTGAACTTCTTTTTTTCCATCACACTTTTATTTTTCAAAAATATACAACTTTCAAATTCATAAAAACAAAAATATGATCAAGAACAAATTACTTCTCAAAACCCACCTAAATTGTGCAAATAAAGTGCACACCACAAACTCCCTCACCTCACTCACTAATAGCTCCCCCAAGCCAAACTTGGGACTAGTAACCAGTGGGGCAATTTAGGCTTGCAATGCGGCTATGAACAATAAAAGGGCACAAGCAACAACATGGGTGACAAGAAGGGAACAAATTTATCTAAATATCTCTGAAGGCTACCTAAGGAATGAACGCCTTCGTTCTCCTCATGTGCATATTATAAAGTCATGAAACACTACTCATAGTTGCAGATCAATACTCAGATTCATTGACATACCAGGAATTATGGAACTATCACACATTTCCTAACCAAATCAACTAGTCAGGCACTATATTCACAAGTAGTTGGAAAAAATTGACGCAAGTTAAGGAATCCAAACAATTAGACTTCAAATCATGACCAACAAATCCACAATGTTCCTCATCAAATACCAAGAATCAAAACAATTTTCTCAAGTATGGGGCATAGGGAAGCATGATTTACAATTCATTGGAACGTATTTTTGATTTTTATTTTTTTTGTATTTTTCATATATAAGAAAGCAATAAAAACTATACTAGAAAGCAGATAAAGAGAGAAAAGGAAGAGAAAGTCCAAGGTGAAAGAACACCCCCCTAAGCCAAATCAAGCAATGCCCTCATTGACTTGGGAGAGTAGCCTACTCCTCATCCTCATCCATCCTAGAGTACCCTCCACCGTGGCTAGAGCCGGCCCCTCCATGGCTAGAGCCACCACCACCATACCCCGAACCACCGGCATAGTAGTTAGGGTCTACATTCCCACCCATACCCCCATATCCGTGGACCGAAGAGTAGTCCACATAAGTACCATAAGCACCGGGGTGAGAATACCCTCCTTGGGGGTATTGGAACCAATCGAGAGTAAGGGAATCGGGAGGAATAGCCCCCCGACGGGCATAATCATCATACATGGGGTAAAGGCCCCTCCCTAGGTTCCTCTCAATAAGACCAACCCTCCCATCTAGGGTGCTTAACCTAGAGTCTAGGTTTTGCATCATGCCCTCTACCCTTCCTTGCCCCGTCTCAATACGGTCTAGTTGGCTCCTAAAAGCCGAAAAGTCATATGGGGCATTTGGGTCGACATTATAGTCGACCGAGGAAGTAGGCATTGTAGGCATGTCGTAGGTGAAAGGTGGGGGTGGTGTGTAGTGGGGTGAATGGGGGATTGGTGAGGTTGTGGTGAGGGGTGAGGTGGTGGAACCTCACCTTGACCATCTAACTCGAAGGTATAAGAGGGCTTCCCCTTCTCGAATTTGGTCAAGGAGGGGTTAGGTAAGGTAAAGGCTTGATCCCTCCTACCCGATTGTCGGTGGACAATCCACCAAGTATCACTCCCCACCGGTTGTACCCAATTCAAACTCCCAAAATAAGGTAGGTCCATTAGGTTCGATCCCACAACTTTTCTATGGCCATCGGGGTTCCAACCTAAATGCTTCCTAGCTATATGGGTCACTAACCCCCCAAAGTAAATAGGCGCTCTGGACCTACTAGCTTCGGCCGCATTGGCCGCCCTTTGAAAATGGTTGGCTATCCTATGGGGTAAATTTAATTTTTCAGCATTAGGAATTATATAGGAAGCCAACAATTCCAATTCATCCCTCTGAACATTTGCCGGTTCATGCCTCCCAAAAATAGTGAGGCCGGCAAATCTTTGCCAAAGTTTGGGGACGGGATGTTGAATCCAC